ACACAAGCAGGCACATACGCTTTAAAGTTGACATATGACCGTAACTAACCAAATCATTTTATACCTGATCAAATAGGCCAGATATAGAGTATATATACCACTTTTTAGGGATTTGCCGGTGAGTTTTTCTGACTCATTAGCTTGAATTTGGTTGTGACGAAGTACCTTGCTCTGATGATGTTAGTCATATGACGGACGAAAGCTTAGCACCTTCTCATCGGAATCGAAGGAGATTACCTCGGAAACAGCGTCAACAAGAATATTCCAGTAAAACCAATCGACAGCTCGTAAAGAGGAATCCGCCGTCGTCTTCTGGTAAAATCGACCTTCGAATTTCTTCACCAAGCACTTTCACTTGAAATGGAAGTAAGCACAACAGTTATGAAATAAGAGATTCCTCGAAACCCAACTTTTTTTCGCATACTATCTCCCTGCTTCAAATATTTCACTCGACCCCTGCCACCCCATCTGTGCTACTCGAGGCGCTATTTCCCACACTCTGCCTCTACGAGACTAACTTGAGGCTAAAGCCCTGGGGCTTAATTCTCATGGTCAAGCTTACCGTCAGCCAACTAGCTCTAGTCTCCGCCGCGTCTGTCCTGTTTCTATCCCTAATACCAAGTCGATGACTTCCTATGCCTTAGTCTCTTGTGTGCCAAACCACAAATGTAGTTGTACTACTTGCTTTAATTTAATTCAATATTGAACCACAACATTCGTGAGTTGGCACACAAGAGACTAGGGCATAGCAGGTCATAGACTCGGTAGTATGGATAGAAACAGGACAGACGCGGCAGAGATTAGAGCTAGTAAGCTGACAGTAGGTCTGTTTTCTCATATACGTGGTGCATGAAACAAAGGCTTGATCTTGAGAATTACTCAGAGGCTTTAGCCTCGAGTTAGTCTTACAGAGGCAGTGTGGGAAATAACGCCTCGAGTAGAATAGGTGGGGTGGCATGAGTCGAGTGAGCTACTTGAACCAGGTAGATGGAAAAAAGATCCTACATGGCAAGAGGGAAACTCTGGTAAGACTTAGGGAAGGGGGACTGCGTAACAATATGACAGACTGATCAACATTCCCAGAAAAAGGGTGAGGGGGATTGAGTGGGTGATAAAGCCAGTGTGGAGTGTGCAGAGTTCTCATGGGAGACGCTCAAAAGGGCATACCATACCACATTTAAATAAGCAAGTAAAATTGTGATACAATGATATAGGATTAGTCCAGGGGGGGTAGGAGAGATAGCACGATTTTTTTGTGGACAATTGGTCAAAGGATCGTCTTCTTATGGAATCGATCTTCGAATCTCTTCACCAAACACTTTCACTCAAAATGGAAGTAAGCACAACAATTATTAAATAAGACAATCCTCTAAACCCAACTTTTAATAGCATATATTAAATACCCGTTGATGATCAATATTTAAACGTTTAAGATACCGAATGAGCAACCTTGAAATTTATATATAACACTATGTGAATAATTCCAAAGGTTACCAATCGAGGGCTTTTATCACAAAGATCACAATTACCGTAGCGACAGTTTTTCTGTAGAGTCGGAGTGCGCTGCCAGCCAAACCACGAAAACAGGCCGGATCGAGCCAGTGTTTGCCTCGTGTGCCCCGCACTACGTCCCATGTAGTTACCGGCCGCCTTCCCGCGTGTATTACGGCTAAGCTATCCCAGTCCTCAGCCCGAGTGGCGCGCGTAGCCATTTGGGAAGCAGGAGTAAGAAGCCATGGTGCTGCCTGCTCGTTATGCAGTCCAGACTTTTTGCTTTCGTCAGCATTATGGTGTCCACTAGGAGTTTTGCTACTATTGCCTCTAGAAAGTAGATATGAAAGGTTGGAAAGCCCCGGAGAAGCGAAGGATTTTCGTTTCTTCTGTTTCTTTGCCGAACGACCTGGTAGTCCGGGGGCATACATGTGACCTAAGGAGCGATCGTAACGCTCATTTGTGGTAGAGAATAATCTGGAGAAAAAAATATTTAATTAATTAAATGATAAAAGTTGATGAAGGACTAGTGGTTGAATTTTCCCACAATCATGAGTAGAGCCGACGTTCCCAATGAATTTCATATAGCCTTGGTCTAAAAAAAGTTGTTCTCATCCAGAGTAGACTGCAGTTTCGACCTCGCTTAAGTCTTATCAACATCACCAGCGGGAGACGAACTGTGACAGTGCAGCATGTGAGCTTGATACG